GGAGAATCCCTTCCTTCCTTCCTTCCACCAGTAGGCTGTGAACAAGTTCAAGTGAATTTCTCTTAAATTTCATCCCACAAACTCTAATTCCAGCTCCCAATTACTTGTGACTACTGGTCTGCTAGAGGTATCACACCATGAAGAAATGGGTGAAGTCCCAATATGTAGTTGGAATATTAAACACTCCTGGAACATTTAAAAGTTCACATCTCCAAAAGCCATGATGTCATTATGATAAAGCAAAGAAAATGACCTCCAACACTCAGAATTTGGGAAGTTGTCTTTCCCACAGCTCCTTGACTCATACCTTTCTGGTTTATTCTAGGTGCCTTTTTATAGATGACTGCTACGCTGACCTGAGGGCATTGAAAGACAAATACAATCCCCCTGCCACACTTGTATATACTTGCAAAATCCATGAATAAAGCTATCCTGAACACAAGGGGTAGCCCCCAGGAAAACAGGCATGGACTCGGCGCAGAAGAGCCCTCTCTTAGAAAAGCGTCTACCCAGACTCCGAGAGCCCACCTCGCGTGCAGTCTGCGTCCTTGCCTTTTCTTTGTATTGTCTCTGCAGAGCTTCACTCTATTCTAGGCTTGGCAAAAGCCAGCGAGGGGAGGTGCACTTGTTCCTACACATTTCTTCGCAGACTCAGTCCGTCCACTTCCCTTCTAACAACTGCCACCCACTGCCTTGGAACTGACCAAGTATTCCAGGATTTCAGCATTTCTAAGACACAGGACCAGCACTGGGGAGGAAATAGGGGAGGAAAGAGAAGGGTCAGGGGAAAATCTTACCTCAACTTCTGACTGGCAGGGACCGTGATTTTATTGAGCTTGTCCATCGCTCTCAGAAACTGCAAGAGACACGAAGCCCGGTGCAGCAGGAGCGTCAGCACTTCCCTGCTCCCGTCGGAGTCGGCATGGCACAGCCTCTGTCCTGGGCTGCGTCACCAAAGCCTGATCTCTGAGAGCACGGGCTGCTGGCAACACCCCTGCGCCCAGGAGAAGTAAAACTTGCTGGAGCACATAATCAAGTTTCGAGTTTCTACGCGATCATGTGATCTGGGTAGCCAGCCAGTCTGACTGATTACTTCATGCTGGGTAAACTTTAAGAGTGAAACCTACTGGGCATACGATTTCTTCCCAGCCTCTCTCTTTCATAATCAGCTTTGTAGAAGCTGGTCGAGACGGGCTTCTGGCTGGCCGCTCTTCCTGTTTGCCCCAAACGTGTATCGTCCCTGTTTTCCACAGGTGTTGCTGGGCTGCCACCAGCAGCGCCCTGGGCTTGAGGAGAGCAGAATAGTCCATTCCATCTGGGGACTTCCTGCTCATTTGCAACTGGTCGGTGGAGCTTTTCCACTCACAGAACCCTTCCATGAAAATGGCATTTTTGTTCTGTTTTTCTCCACACGCACGCCCCGCCCCCACACGGTTTTCAATAACTATCACGGTGGCAGCGGCTCGGCTGATAACAGTTTACTCAGAGAGTTACAATCTCTGTTTTCCGGGAGATTTATTTAAAATGGGCTGGGCAAATTGTCTGGGCAAGGTCACTTAGGGCGAGGCCTCAAGGACACCTGGGAAAGGGGAAATGACCTCCATCATCAGACACGTGGCCTCCTGTGGTGCTGGTAGATGCCGGGATTACCTTGCTGACAGCCAGATGTTTCCAAACAAAACCAAACATCCCCAGAGAACAAAGTTAACAGTTTCCCAACAATGCCATTCCGACATCAGGCAGAAGTCCCTGAAAAACCGAGCACCACACCCTTGCCTGCTGTTGTCCCCTGCTGTCCTGGTCCGCTGCTCACTTCATCCCCTCATCAGACCCAATGGCGAGCCCGACTTAGAGGCATCCTGAACACGGCCAGGTGGGGCGAGGCCGGAGAGGGACCCACACCTGCAAGGACTGAACCGATCCCGAGAGACTGATTCCCTCCCAGAAGGTGTCACACTTCCTTCTCCCCGTTGAGAACAGTGCTGATTTACCTGTCACTCAGGAAGCAGAGGGCATTGAAGAGTAAAGGAGGAGGAAAACGATGAGGGCTGTTCCCTCTGAGCCCAGACTTGCTTCCCAACAGCCGGCAGGAGGCTCATGCCTCTCTGTGAAGGCAGGTGCCCAGTTTCCATGTTCAGCAGGGAGACCGACCCTCTCACAGAGAGGACCAGTAGGGCTTCACTGCCTCTCCTGTTTCAGGCCCAAGGTCTGGCTGCAGACAGAGGGAGAAGGAGAAGCAGACAGAAGAGAAAGGGGAGGAGGCGGCATGGCAGGGCCAGTGGTGGAAATGACAGGTGGATTTCTTCCGCCTGTGCCTCTTTGTGAAAACAAAGGTTCTGTGCCACTGCAGGTCGGCCTGAGTATTCAGGTTCACACACTGCCCAGGAATTTCTGGTCCGATCAGACCTTTGGGGGCAGAATCTTCAGGGCCATTGAAGGGTCAGGCCCTTCTCTTTGACCGGACCAGCGAACTGTCGCGAGAAAAACACGAGGGCTTGCCTCCTGCCACCGCTCATTGCCTTCATTTTCCCCAGTCCGGCAGCTCAGTTTCCTCGCAATATACCCTCAAGGAGGTCTAGACTCCTGCCCTTCCCCTTCCACAGTTCCTGACTGGGAGAAGCAAGTAGGTCAGGATGCTGAAGGCAGTCGCCAAAGAGGAGGAAAAGCAGGCTTCATGAACCGGAGGAGAGCCATCAGCTCATTCCTTCTGAGTTCTTGTAAAAGGGCACCCCCCGGGCCCCCTGACTTTCCTCTCCACCAACAACTCTCTCAGCACCTGGCAGCCTCTTATTTCCCCAGAGAAAAAGACAGGGGCAAGGGCTCCACTTCTGCTTTTTCTTTTTACAGCCACTTGTCTTTCTTCTTTTTACTCTATTTAGTCTGACATGATGAAAATGAGAGTCTGCTCTTCCAGACTGGACCTTTTTGCCCCGTGTGGTGTGCAGTGCGGCAGCCTAATGTTCCAGGGCCGACACGACGGCTCCACGGCTGGAACCAGTTTGCCAAAGAGGGTCGGTGCCAGGATGGAAACTCACAACAGCAAGCCTTAGCTGGTGACTTCTGAAAGGAATGAGGTCACACAGCGTGGTTCCACAGCACATGCAGAACAACGTACCGCCACGAGCATGCAGGCTCAACCCGCATGGAACAGTGCACATGGAAATTAATTAATCACTAGACTAACATGAGAAACAGCCAATCCCAACCTTATAGAAAATTTGGAATGCCTATGTATAGGCTGCTGACAAAAGCATAAGGTGTAATCACAGTTTGATATTATCTATTAAGTTTGATGACATACACAGCTGTGACCCAGCATTGGCTAGAGATGTGGCAGACCACTCCTAAGCATGTGCACCAAGGTCACGTGCAAGAGTTTTTACTGAAGTGCTGTATCTACTAGAGGGAAAAACAAACACACAAACAAAACAGCCCTGGAAATAGCCCCGCTGTCAACCACCAGAAGAGTGACTAACTGTGGTGTATTCACACCATGGAGTGCGCTTTAACAGTGAAAATGAATGAACTCCAACTGCCTCGGAATGGATTAATAGCAACGAAAACCTGAAGGTAAGCTAGAGAAGCTGATACAGCATGATCACATTTATTTCAAGATTAAAGACAAATAAAACTAAATACCATATTATTGTCTGGTAAAATTGAGGAAGAAAATGATAAATGCCAAACTCGGGTGGGTGGTTACCAGGGGGTGGGACTGGAGTGAAGGGGCATATGGACCTTCCGAGCAATGGCAGTATCCGACTTCTTCAGCTGAGGGAAGGATACAGCGTTCACTTTATTGTCATTGCATATATCCTACATGCACACACACACACACACATATATCCTATATAAGTTAAATATTTTTGCAAAAATAAAGGCAGATCTGGTCAAGAATTATGGGGCAAAGACAGGACAGCAGGTGTAACTCTAAGTCAGCTCTGTGAGATCGCGAGCCTAGAGAACAAGAAGGCAGAGGTCCCAGAGCTTGGGGATGAGACCCAGGAAGCCCTGGTTCTCTCAGCCTTTTCCCTGTCATCTGTGGATGACAACTAAAACACACTTATCAAACACTCCCATGTTTCCTGTCCTGTGGTGTTCATTTTACATTGAAGAAGCTGATTCTTAGAAAAGTTCAGTAACTGGCCCAAAGTTATACCACTCACAGACAGATTCGAACCCAGATTTATTTCCACAATCTAAACTGCCATTCACAGGGCTCTGTCATTGCAAGAATGATCTGTGGGGGCCAGTGCTGTGGTGTAGCAGGTAAAGCCGCCGCCTGCAGTGCCGGCATCCCATATGGGCACCAGTCCAAGTCCCGGCTGCTCCACTTCCAATCCAGCTCTCTGCTACAACCTGGGAAAGCAGTAGAAGATGGCCCAAGTCTTTGGACCCCTGCATCCATATGGGAGACCAGGAAGAAGCTCCTGGCTCCTGGCTTCGGATTGGTGCAGCTCCGGCTGTAGCAGCCAACTTGGGAGTGAACCAGTGGATGGAAGACCTCTCTCTCTGCCTCTCCTTCTCTCTCTGTGTAACTCTGACTTTCAAATAAATAAATAAATAAATAACTCTTTTTTTGTTTGTTTAGAGAGAGAGACAGAGAGAAAGGCTTTCCTTCCATTGGTTCACCCCCCAAATGGCTGCCATAGCCATCCAAAGCAGGACTCAAGCACTTGGGCCATCCTCACTGTCTTCCTGGGCCACAGCAGAGAGCTGGACTGAAAGAGAAGCAACAGGGACAGAACTGGCACCCCAACCAGGACTAGAACCAGGAGTGCTGGTGTCTCAGGTGGAGGATTAGCCTAGTGAGCTGTGGCGCTGGCCAATAAATAACTCTTAAAAAAAGAATGATCTGTGATTCAACGCATGATCCTGCCCTGTCAAGGGAGAAAGTACAGAGGGCCCTTCCCTCTCTGGTACCCCCTTAACCATGACTTTGGGCAAGTTACTTATCTCTGTGACCTTAACTTCTCACCTTCATGAGGAAGGAGAAAGGATTTAAGTAGAATTTGGGCTCCTTCTGACTTGGAATCTGGCCTCTGCCAATGTGTTCCAAATTGATCAACACCAGTGAGAACACTCTGAGAGTTCCAGAAGAGAAGCCTCTGGTTCTCTTTATTGGACTGCTTTCCCATGAGGGTGTGGTGGCTGTGGCAGTGAAGAGAGCCCTGCAGGTCAGTCAAGCCCTCATTGGGACTAGGAGGTCAGCCCCAGCTCACTGGGTAGGTGAGGTATGGCACTGGTACAATGGGGTCTGGTTCTATGCAGAGCTGTGACCTCCTCAAGGGATGCTCAGCCTCCCAGAGGCTCCACTCGTTGTGGGGGCACTATTATTTTTTTTTATTTATTAAAAAAATTTTTTTTATTTGACAGGTAGAGTTATAGACAGTGAGAGAGAGAGAGAGAGAGACAGAGAGAAAGGTCTTCCTTCCGTTGGTTCACCCCCAAAATGGCCGCTAGGGCCAGCGCTGCTCCCACCTGAAGCCAGGAGCCAGGTGCTTCTTCCTGGTCTCCCATGCGGGTGCAGGGGCCCAAACACTTGGGCCATCCTCCACTGCCCTCCCAGGCCACAGCAGAGAGCTGGACTGGAAGAGGAGCAACCGGACTAGAACCTGGCACCCATATGGGATGCCGGCACCGCAAGGCGGAGGATTAACCAAGTGAGCCATGGCGCCAGCCTGTGGGAGCACTATTACCATTGCCATTGATACAAAGCCTGAGCCTCAGAGTGGTGGTCAGACTTATTAAAGGTCACCCTGTCTTGCTGACCCTGATTTAGGCCTTAACTCCCAAGCCATATGCTCTCTTTTCCTTTCTGATGCTGGCCCCACTTCTTGGAGATGGGTAGGAGGTGGGGAGTGTGTCCTGTAGCAACAGCAGCTCTGGCAACTCTGATACATGCAGGTGAAAGCCGGCAAGAGATTGCTATCTGTACAGATTCTCTCCACCACTGCCAGCTAAGGGCCCAGAGGGAAGGAGGTTTGGGAGGAAGCTAAGGAGCCTGGTTAGGCTACGGGAGGAAAACAGCAGAAGAGACCAGGGCAAGGTAAAAGCAGAAGAGGAAGTGTGGTAGATCTTGGTAGGATTTGTTTTCTCCTCCTGTGTGTGGGGGAGGGGCAGGAAGGGAGGAAGGAGGAGGAAGAGAAGATATCTTTGGCTTGAGCAAATGGGCAAAGGCCCTTTTAATCTCAAGGCTTCACTTTCTTGAGACAAATCAGTTCCCTGCTTCATCTGTTCAGTGAATGCAATCTTCTGTACATCAAAGTGGCCTGGAGTGAGGCACCTGTGTTATCAGCAGGATGGCTCAGATGCATCAGTGCAAGCCTCCGTTGCCAAGAACATTCCAGGAGCCTGATGTTGCGATGGGCACCACCTGGCCCATGTGTCATCTTCATACCATCCCTGCCTCTAACCCTCGGAGCCAATCTCCCAATAAACATTTCTGCCTTCACTCTGTTTTCACTCCCCCGAATCACTGAGCAGCCTCTCTCTACTTCTCGGTGGTGAGAGTCACCTCTTTCCCATGCCTATTTCAAGCTTCCATCTGCTGAACCTTCTTAAGAATTTCAGGGGTTTTTCCTTCTTCTAGAACAATGTCATTCATGCCCTATGGGATTGTGTATCCTTGAGGATCTCACTCCAGACTAACTCTCTGCAGGTGATCATCCCTCTGGTCAAGCTGGTCACTAAATACCCCTTTCTCTTCATAGTCACACAGTCTGGCCACTAGCCAGAAACCATTATCCAGAAACAGATCGGGAGGCAGATGTAAGAGGTCCCAGGCAATCAGGAGGCCAGGCAGTTCCATCAGTCAGGGCCCTCTAGAAGTCAGAGAGCTTCATGATGAAGGGTGGAGAGGCAGAGTTCTCCATCCAAAAAATGGGTGCATCAGAGAATGGAGAGCAAATAGAAGTTCGTGGCTTCCAAGAGCTGAGATTCTGTTGCCAGAAGTCACTGGCAGCAGATGCTAGGGTTGCTGATCACACTTTCTACTGGCTGTTTTTCTGATGAGACTTGATTTATCCCCTAGTCTTTCTTCCCAAGCAGTTCATCTGTTTCCAATGGGTCCCCAGACAAAAGCAAATTTGAGCAAATGAAGAGACATTTCAAGTTCTTGGGTGGAGTGACTCAACATCATGAGGATGTCCATTAGTGACAATTCAGTGTGGAAGTGTAATGTGATCCCAGTAAAAACAGCAACAGAATCCTCGCCATCCACCTGTGTGGGAGCTGGACAGGTTGATTCTAAAGCTTCTGCATAAAAACAAACAAACAAACAAAAACCACATGAAATAGCCAAGAACCCCCTGAAAAAGAAGATGAAGAGAGTGGGATGGCTCTAGCTCTCCTGGATATTAAAGCAGCTATGGAGTCTGTCTAATAAAAGCACCATGGAATTGCTGCAAGGCCAATGGAACTGAAGACAAAGTGCAGAAATAAATGGAATAATATAAGGAAAAAGAATACCATGAATGTGGCATGTTTAAAAGGGAAAATATTGGCTTTTCAATAAACAAGGAAATTAACATCATTGAGAAAATATAAGACTCATTTCAAACTCTTGATGGAACAGAGATCTAAATGAAGACATGAAGCCACAAATAAGCCAGAAAAAAACCAGTTAAATGTCTCAACTAACTTATTTATGACTTAAAATCTAAGTTTTAATAAAGGAGAAGATTGATAAATTTAACTAGGGAGACACAGAGAAACTCTTCATGGCAAAAACACACCAGAAGCAATGTCAAAAGATAAGGGATGAGTTGGGAGTACAGTTCTATCATGTACCACAGATAAAAGGCTTACAGCCCTAATGGACACAGAGTTCCAAAAACTGACATGGAAAAAAAATAGACAAAGATTGAGCAAAAACTGTGATCGTAAAAGATAAAGATGAAAGAAGCTTAATCACACTCCTGTTAGAAAAATGATAATCATAACCATGCTAAGGAAATAGCTCACATACCAGATTAGCAAAAATCTAAAAGTCTAATGATGGGGTGGGAGTTTGGCCTAGCAGTCAAGACTCAGGTGTCCCACACTGGAGTCTGTGTCCCACACTGGGTTTGATTCCTACTCCAGCTCCTGAATCCACTTTCCTGCTAAAACAGACCCTGAGAGGCAGCAGTCATGGCTCAATAACTGGGTTCCTCACACCCATAAGAGACTTTGAGCTCCTGGCACCCAGTTTTGGCTTTGGCCCAGCTCTGGTCATTTCTAGGCATTTGAGAGTGAACCAGCAAATCAGGGTGAACCCCTGCCCCTCTCAAATAAACAATTTTTTTTTAAACAATTTTAAAGAAAAGGTCTAATGACAGACTGTTTTGGAGACTCCAAGGTAACAGTCATGCTTTGCTTGCAAAATGCTACACTGTTTGTTAACTGCAATTATCTAATAAAATTATTTGGATTTATGGGACCTAGCAGTCTCACTTCTAGACCCTATGCTGAAGAAGATACACCTTCAATTATGTACATGTGCAATATCTGCAATTGTTTATTGCAGCTCTAGGCAATACCAAATGGAAAACCCTTAATGTCTAATAGTGGGGCACTGGTTAAATAAATTTTAGAAAGGTCTTCCATTGGTTCACCTCCCAAAATGGCCACCACAGACAGAGCTACGCCAATCCGAAGCCAGGAGCCAGATGCTTCTTCCTGGTCTCCCATGGGGTGCAGGGCCCAAGCACTCAGGCCATCCTCCACTGCACTCCCTGGCCACAGCAGAGAGCTGGCCTGGAAGAGGGGCAACTGGGACAGAATCCGGCGCCCCAACCGGGACTAGAACCTGGTGTGCCAGCGCCGCTAGGCGGAGGATTAGCCCAGTGAGCCATGGCACCGGCCTAGTACAATTTCAAAGGGGAAAAAAAATAACTTGGCAATCAGATTGACATTCAATTACCAGGTGGGGACAAAAAAACATCAAAAGACCTCATTTACAATTCTCCATCCCGTCTGCCCTGCTAAGGGTGGGAGAGCTAACTTGTTTTCACAGTAAGCTGTGAGGTCTGGAAGAGCTCCCTTGCTATTCTCATGGTAAAATTGGAGATTCCAAAGGAAGGAGGGCAGCCTGTTTGTTCTTGCTAAAGAAGGAAGCAAATATTTTACACCCGAAATTCCACTGGGGTCCCCTGAATATCTGTTAACCCATCTGACTCCTCACATTCCCACCTCCCGAAAATGGAAACCCTAACATCTGTTAGGGGAGATTGAGTGATGATCATTCTGAATGCCATTTATTTATTTATTTTATTATTATTTTTTTTTTTTATTTTTGACAGACAGAGTAGACTGTGAGAGAGAGAGACAGAGAGAAAGGTCTTCCTTTGCCGTTGGTTCACCCTCCAATGGCCGCCGCGGCTGGCGTGCTGCTGCTGGCGCACCACGCTGATCCTATGGCAGGAGCCAGGTACTTATCCTGGTCTCCCATGGGGTGCAGGGCCCAAGCACTTGGGCCATCCTCCACTGCACTCCCTGGCCACAGTAGAGGGCTGGCCTGGAAGAGGGGCAACCGGGACAGAATCTGGTGCCCCAACCGGGACTAGAACCCAGTGTGCCAGCGCCGCAAGGCGGAGGATTAGCCTAGTGAGCCGCGGTGCCGGCCGCCATTTATTTTTAAAACATAGAACACATAAAAATCCACTAGTCCATAAAAATGAAACAACAAAAGAAACCAAAGCATTCACCAACATTTGGAAGTAACTATTTCATCAACCGTTTAACTACTAATTTTTTTAAAAATTAAATGAATTGGAAGTTTAAAAAATGAACTGTTTATTCTGACATTTTGGGGTGAGGGGAATTGAAGATCTTCCTTAATTTTCTCAGAAGAAAGCTAGCTAATAAAAAATAGAATGAATAACAGTATTAGAATATCCCCATTTTGTAACCCCAAATAAATAACCAATTAAGGCAAGGATCATATGCTAATCAGTAGGTGAAACTTTATTAGGGAGCGTCAGGTCCCCATGATATCACAGGTGTCAAAGTCTCAACCCAGAGGCTGCTGGCTAATTGCAAAACTGATCTCCTTGGAGCTGAGATCTCACTGCAATTAAAGTGGTGACCAAATTAAGGTAGTGTAATGAAGGTCCCGACCAACTTCAGCATTATCCACACGGCTTCCTGATTCGATACAAAACCAAGTACAGCTCACCTTTGAAGTATACTTGCC